GCCAGGGGGGATGGGCTGCAGGGGGGGGTTGGCCAGCTGGTCCCACCCCCCCAATCGGGCCGGTTCACTGGCCACAGTGGGTGTCATAGCGATGGTCGTTCTGGTCATTACGGCATTCTGGTCACTGGTTTTTTATATATATAGATAGGTCAGATAATAGTAGGGTTACATATTCAAAGAACTGAAAGAAAATGTCAATCAAGAAACATGTTCAGCAAAACCTTTCAAAAATGAAGGCACAATAAAGCTATGCCCAGATAAACAAAAACTGGAGGAATTTCTTGATAGTGGACTCATATGAAGACTGTTAAAGGAAGTTCTTCAGGCTGAAAGCAAGTTGTACCAGATGACAATTTGAATCCACACACCCATACACAAGAAAATAAAGATAACTATGTAGGTAAATGTGAGAAGATATAATTGCATATTTATTTTTCTTCTCAACTGATTTAAAAACAATTATATAAAGCAATATCAATATTTATAATGTTGGGTCTGTAACATGTAGGTATGTAATCTATATATATAAAAAGCCAGCGACTGGTATACCGTAATGACTGGAATGACCGGTCGCTATGACACCCACTGCAGTCAGCAAACCACCAGATCGGGGGGTGGGACAGGCTGTCCAACCTCCCAAGGCCCCTCCCACCAGCTTCCCCCACCCCTGATTGGCCTCTCCCACCTCGATACGGGGGCGGGGCTGGCAGCCAACCTCCTGCAGCCCCTCTCCTGATCAGCCTGCGGCCCCTCCCCCCAGCCAGCTCAGCCCCTGCACTCTGATCTGGCCAACCACCCATGGCCCCTCCCCCAGGCCACTGGCCCCCAATCGGCCCCCCCAACCCATTCTGGGGTGGGGTCAGCTGGCCCACCACCCAAAGCCCCTCCCCACAGCCAGCCCCGCCCCCATCAGCCCCCCACCACAATCGGGGGCGGGGCCAACCAGCCAATCACCCACAGCCCCTCTCCCTAACCAGCCTGACCCTGATCAGCCCGATTAGGGCGGGCCGGCTGGCCAACCTCCTGCCGTCTCCTCCTCCTGACAGGTCCAGCCCCAATCCACTGATTGGGGACGGGAGGCCGGATTCCACCTGTGCAAGAATTCGTGTACTGGGCCTCTAGCATATTTAATATTAACATAAATGAAGTGGGTGGTAACAGAGCTATATTGGAGTCAGGAATGACACAAGGTGGTTGTTCAAATTGCAAAAAGAAGTGAAAAGAAATAGGCTTGGGCCCTAACCGGTTTGGATCAGTGGATAGAGCCTCAGCCTGCGGACTGAAGGGTCCCGGTTTCAATTCCAGTCAAGGGCATGTACCTTGGTTGCGGTTGTATCCCCAGTGTGGGGCATGCAGGAGGCAGCTGATGGATGTTTCTCTCTCATCGATGTTTCTGACTCTCTATCCCTCTTCCTTCTTCTCTGTAAAAAATCAATAAAATATATATGTTAAAAAAAGAAACAGACTTGGTTAATAAATATATATTTGCTTTCTTTCCTATAAAGACTGAAACTGCATCTAGAAGAAATATAAAATCTGAGTAGACCTATGATAAATAGTTTGAATTAGTCATTTAAAAACTTCCTCCAAAGAAAAACCCATGCCCAGATGATTTCACTGATGAATTTCAACAAATGTTTAAAGAACAATAATATCAATACTTTCTCACTCTACAAGGTCAGTATTACCTTATATGAAATCCATGCAAAGACATCACAAGGGGAAAAAAAAACTACAGACTAATGTCTTTTTTAATATAGATGCAAGAATTCTCAACAGAATACTGGTAAATCATATCCAGCAACATCTAAAAAGTGTTATACACCATTACCAAGTGGGATTTATCTCACAAATGGAAGATTGATTTAAACTTAAAAACAATTTGTGTAATTCATCATATTAATAACATATAGGTCAAAAATCACATGATCATCTTAATAAATATGGAAAAATCACTTGAAAAAAATCCAAGAGTCTTGGTTTTTTTGTTTTAATTTTTTACTTTTTTTCAAATTTTTAAATGTTTTAAATTACAGTTTACATTTAATATTATTTTGTGTTAGTTTCAGGTGTACATCATAGTGGTTAGACAATCATATACTTTACCCAGTGTTCCCCCTGATATTTCCAGTACCCAACTGGCTCTATACATAGTTATTAAAATATTACTGACTATATTTCCTATGCTGTACTTTACATCCCCATGACTATTTTGTAACTACTGATCTGCACTTCTCAATCCCTTCACCTTTTTCAAAGCTCTCTTGTGTATCTTCTTAGACAGGCACTAATTCCATTCATGAAGGCTCCTCCCTCATGACTTAATTACCTTCTAAAGTGTTTACCTCAAAATGCCATTACACTGGGGATTAGGTTTCAACATATGCATTTTAGGGGGGACACTCAGTTCACAGCAATGACCTCTGTCAGGTTGAGAAAGTTCCCTTCTCTTCCTAGATTGTTGGGTGTTCCTCTCATGAGAGACTTTTGGGTCTGGGTAATCCGCCATGGGAGGACATGAGAAGACTGCCACCTGCAAACCAGGGAGCAGGCCTTCCTCAGACACCAGGTCTACCAGCACCTGGTCTTGGCCTTCCCAGCCTTCAGAACTATGAGAAATAAATATTTGTTTTTTAGCCATCCAGTCTATACTATATTTACTATAGCAGCCAAAGTGACCAATATAGCCATCTATGAAAAACTCACAGCTCACATCATCATTAACAGTGAAAAAAATGGATGTTTCACTCTAAGATGTTGGGTTATCTTTATTTGGTATAGAGATATTTTATCACATTAAAAAATAATCTAGTTCATTCTCACTAATTTACTCACTAATTCAGACTGATACTTTAATGCATTAAACTTTATTAATTACCTATTGCAATATTGTAATAACTTTCTCAGACTTATGTTTTGCTTTTAAATAAGTATGATAGTTTTTATCTCTGAAAAGAAAAATAATAAAATCTCATCCCTTTCGGTTTCAAATATTTGCCACAGCAATGTGTATAATAATCTCTTCTTTTAATTTAATGTCTCAATTCAGATGGGGTTTTTTAATGTCTTTGTTTTTAACTAGGCCTGCTATAACAGGATTCTTTTTCCAAATCTGAGAGCCTTCCCCCCTTTTTTGGGGTGGAGAGGTGTGGAATTTTAATCAATCCATTAACACTTATTGTGGTAATTGATAATTTGGTTTTATTCTCTCAATCTCATGAGATGAATAAATTATTTAATTCTGTAAGACTTACACTTTTATTTTTGATGCAAAGATTCTTTTAAAAATTGTTTTGAGAAAATTTTAATTCTGAATTTCATATTCAGTATTCAATACATGTAATTTCATATTCAGTATTCAATACTGATGTAACCTTTTAAACATTATTTTTCTTTCCTTTATCTCCATGAAGACAAATTGAGTGGCAGTAATAATGCAAACAAAAGACAGAAAACCGCACAGGACTTTCTCAACTCTATTGACCAAACGGGAGAACTCTTGGCGATGTTTGAAGATGATGAAATTGATGAAGTTAAACAAGAAAGAATGGAGGTATAGTTCATTCTTCCCTTTTTACATTAAAGAATAACATTGCAGTTCGCAGTGCCTATGCTATTTGGTTCTGTTATTATGTTCTTTACGTGTCGTCTGAAATGCTTCAATCAGTGGTTTCATGTCTGAAGACAGCATTGTGCAGTGGAGTAGCCTGGAGAGGATGTCAGACTCTGCCTTCAGAGTTGATGTGGAGAGAGGACTTCAGTTTCCTGTTTCTCTGTTTCCTTCTTTGAGTATAGATAGATTTCCCTCAGCTTCCTTCCTTTTGGGGGGTTTAGTTTTACTGATATTATTTTATTCTTTACAAGCTAATTCAGCCCTGACCGGTTTGGCTCAGTGGATAGAGCGTCGGCCTGCAGACTCAAGGGTCCCGGGTTTGATTCCTGTCAAGGGCATGTACCTTGGTTGCGGGCACATCCCCAGTAGAGGGTGTGCAGGAGGCAGCTGATAGATGTTTCTCTCTCATCGATGTTTCTAACTCTCTATCCCTTTCTCTTCCTCTCTGTAAAAAATCAATAAAATATATTTTTTTAAAAAGCTAATTCATGATTAAATATTTATTTATTTTTGTTCCAAATATCCAGTTAGCTTTGTGAGCAAAGGTAATCCTTAACTGCATTTGTGTTGGCATGTAGCATTTCAGGCTGTAGTTCCAGGCTATGGTTGGACTCACCAGCTAAGGTAGTATCCAGGGCAATTACATGCTTTATGTCACTCTAACACAAAGTTAGTGACATGTGTTTGGATTCCCTGGATATGTTTTAACAATGAATATGAAAATTGTATGCCTTCTATTTACCTCAGCTTATCTATTCATAAAATTGTTTTTCTTAAAAACTTTGGGAAAATAAAAGTAATGATTGATTTCATTTGAATGCCATCCAAAATACAAGGCATTATTCTTATGATACTTATAATTATTATACTTTTACATGTTAAAAAAAATCTCCATTTTTCCCTTTCTCTTTAAATTGGGCAAGAGAGGTAATTTCAGAACTCCAAAAGATCACGCTAAGTACCCACTTTATCATAGCCTCTATGCATGCTAAGAATATAATTATTTCATGTTAAATTTTGGAGGAAGTCCAATAGACATACATGGTTTATAAACTTTAACAGCCTTCTTTAAAGAATTAGTATGCTTAGATCAGGAACTGTGATCTAAAAGCAGTGTTCTTCTTAGATATCAATTACCTTAGAAATGTGTGGTTATCTTGGTTTAGGGCAACTGCAAATGGTTTTAGTTCAACTCTGCCTTGGGCCAAAAACATGCTCAGTTGTCCCATGCAGATGATAAACATATATTTCTGATGTCATTATGGCCTAAACAGGATATGATTGTTTAGTGGCATGGTTTCACTTATGACAGAGAGCAAATATTGTTTATGCTTTATTTTAAAAACATTTTTACATTATACGAATGGGCATGAAGGAAGATTCATTAAGGAAGAACGCTACATAAAACATTAGTAAAATTGAACATTAGCTTTTCTCTCTTGATGGGAAAATCTCTGTGAACTAAGCCCATTGCCCAGAAGGGCATTCCCCAATCAAGGAGAAGAGAAGTGGAGCGTGTTGAAACACTGAGCCATCATAGCAGGCTACTGTAGGCCCGGAAAGATGATGCGTCATTCAGGCACAAGTTAGAGTCAGTAATGTTTCTGTCAATGCTGGGTGGAATAAGCTTGGGAACTTATGCAGTTTACATACCTGTAGTTGCATTATACATTACTTAGACTTAACCAGGATAATAAAATATCAATAGTTGATAAAAATAGTTGCAATGAAAGTCAGCTTTATCTATATAATAAAAGTTAGATTGGTAGTTTCTCTAAGCTTTATATCCTAACTGAAATCTTCTCTAACCAAGGTTTTTTAAAAAGAGCAGTTTCGAGATTCTACTCTTCCAAATAACACAGTCGTACTGAATAAAAGTGCTGAACTTGTAGACATAACTGTAGACAGTAGAAAGTGGAACTGTTAAGAACACAGGCCTTGCCTGCTTCTAATTTGACAGGTTATAGTTTCAAGCGTAAACCACAACTGTGGCAGTCCATATGAAACCACTTTGGACTCACAGACTGCAATCTCTTGCTTTTAAAGTGCAGTAGAATAATCAGTCCTGGCATCACTCAGTGATTTAATTTTCCTCTAAGCATCACTTACGGTTGCAGAAACTTTGTTTACTACCTTCTCTTCTAGGATGTATGAAAATGGTAGAGACCTACCAGCAAAGCTTATTATTGTTTTTCTTTCTTTCTTCTTTTTATTTTCACTTAAGTGTAATTTTGAAGAGAAAAATTTTACAGACATACATAAAAACTCACTTGGGACCCTAGCTTTTTCTTAAAACATTGAGCAAGCATACAAAAAAGCAAAGTTCTTTTCTATTTTTTTCAGCTGATTTCTGTGTTTATCTGGCTCTGTATTCCACTCAGAATTTATGTCATTAATATTAAGTATTATGTGATTTTAAATATAAAAATGTCTAAATTTTTATATCCATTACTTGCTAGTCCAATATCATGATAGTTAACTCTTACACTTTTTCTTTCTCTCCAGCACCAAATTTTTAATACTTGGGTGTAAGTCTACTAGAGAGCTATGATCCATGATCTCTGAAGATCCTTCTAAATTATCAAATAAAGATTAAATAACATTCATAATTGCTTTAGAGTATTTGAGAGACTGGGAAAGAGAAGCAGGGAAATGGTGGGCATAATAATACATATAAAGACACTCCCCTCCAACCACCTCTCATCCTCACTTAACCCCACCTCAGAATGACACAAGTGTGTTTACTGTTTCTCACATTCTAAATTTTGAGATCTGATCCACTGAACATCAGCGGTGTCAACCAGAGGCCAAGAAAGGATCGCTAAAAGCCGTATTTGGCTTTTCTTAACGGAGGAACCGTGGTCACTCACAGAGAAGCTTTGCCTAAGACCCAGCTGCTCTTCTGCTAAAGAACCTCAGGAGCTCAAGTTTATTACTCACCAAGTTAAATATCTGGTCTAACAAACCGTTAGGTTTGTGAAGGGGACATAAAAATAAATGCTTAAAATTTTGGGTGAACGCTTACCTTCTGACTAACCTTCATTGATAAAAGTAAACAAGAGAACCAAGATTGGAGCTCACCAGAGAGAGCAGCCTTTACACAGGTTGTGGTGCCAAAATCCCCAGTGACTGTTCATCTTGTGCTTCCAAGTCAGAGGCCTAGTATGGAGTCTAGAGAAAAAGCAGAATAAAATACGTAAAATGTAAGGCAGCTTAAATTTTTTTTAAATGGAATAAAATCCCAGGTGGCCATCTGAATTTAACCTGAAGTGACTGGCCATAGATTTAAAAACACTGAGTTTCTCATAAAGGTTGAATAACCAGAGAAATGTGGTATATCATTCAGTTATGCCCCAATATAATGAGGTTATGATGATCCCCGGTGTTTCTGAGTCCCATTGTTATAATTTTTGGACCTAAAGAGATTGGAAAACTAGTTGAAGAAGCCAGAGAGGTGAATGGCTGCCGGCCACGAGTTTGATATGCTTGCGTAGAGGTTCTACATCCCCGGTTTTTGAAGTGTGTTCTTTGTACTACTCCTTTTTTCTACCTAGAATGCTACCTTTTAAAATTATAAAGTAAAATAATATTCCCTTAAGAGTAAGAATTCAAAAGTATTATTTAGATAAAATTTATCATAAAAAGGCCTAATCCCAGTAAGATAAATCTTCACAGTTACCAAGAAATTGAAAAGCTTGAGTTAAAAACTTAAAGGTTCTTAAAAAGTTTAAATTTAATGTATATAGGATTAAAATATACAGAATTTATATACTAGAAAACTATAGTTTAAGATACATATATTATATACACAAATATGCATATACATTTACATACTTTGCCTATATATGCATGTGACCTATATCTATAAGAACAGAAATATGATTTTATTAGATTTTTTTAAATGTAAAAGTAAAAGAGCAATCAAAGGATATCAAACACAAATACTAGTGGTAGTAATTTAGTTTACAGAAAAAAGAATTAAAAGGGAAACGCTTTAAAATGGAACAAAGTTGATAATTTATGTTACTACGAGATGCTGCCTATAATGAAGATAGTAAATACAAAATGTTAATCATCAAATTCCAAGAATTGAAACATTCCAATCAAAAGAAAGCTTTGATTGGTGCAGGAGAGGTCAGAGAAATGCATTTGTTTATACAGACTGGAACACCACATTCTCAGTATTTAACAGATTGACTTGGGGAAAAATATAATAAAGATTTATGTTTTTCTAATAGATGCATATAAAACATTTTAGAAATGAGCAGCAGTTTTTTTTTTCTTTTGTTTTTTGTTAATCCTCACCCAAGGATAGTTTTTTCATTGATTTTTAGAAAGAGAAATAGATAGCTAGAGAGAGAGAGAGACAGAGAGACAAAGAAACATAGATGTGAAAGGTCAGTTGCCTCACACACACACCCCTGTGTATCGAACCTGCAACCCAGGTACATACCCTTGAACAGGAATTGAATCGGAGGCTCATCAGTGCTCAGGCCAGTGCTCTAACCACTGCGCAATTCTGGCCAGGGCAGCAGCAGTTTTAAAATCTTACCCAGGTAACTCCAAAGATTTCATGGTGCTCTTCGGGGAAGGTGAGGAGAGGTTTGGTAGGACTCTAGCCTCTATCCTCCCCCTACATCTTCAACCAGAAGAACTTTGATTTTATATAATGAATCTGTATATCATCAATAAAGAAAGGTTTCATTATTTTTTATCTAAAAATCATTGCAAAACACCATTATTTAACTGCCCAAGAGGAGTATTTCTCACACAAACACAAATTCCAGAAAAGTACAAATTTATAGAGCATATTAGCAGAGCAAAAAACCCAGAAAGTAATAACAGAGGTAAAAAAAAAAAAAAAAACAGGATTCTAATAAATTGAAAATTTAAAAAGAAAAACAAATATCATATAAGCAACTAATGGACCAATAACAAAT